TCAGGTTTCAGCAAACATTGGAAACTGCCAAGGAGCTCTGCAATCCACAGCATCTGGAAAAGTCTCTGCTGTGAATGCTGAATCTTATCAAGGCAACACTTAGTTAAGGAAGAACCTGGGCCCATGGGGTAGGGGGCAACTCAGAGAAGTTCATCACCATGAAAAATAATTAGGCTGAACTCTTGCAGAGTTGTGGGTGAAAATTAACGTTTCTTTTATTGACCAAGAAGTGCATCAGAAAACTTCAGGTTTAAATTATACTATCAGGTGAAGAATTGTTAAAGGGACAAACACTCAGATTTTCTGCATAGTGGAAAACTGCATTTTAAACTCTGTCTCAACCTGAAAGTGGCTTCCCTTTCACAAGAAAGATGTAGCTCTCCAGGATTCCAACCCTCCCTAGCAACGTAAGGAGGCCCATCCGAGATCTCCAACCTCACAGAGCAGAAACCTGCTGCCCAGTGCCCAGAACAGGCTCCCAGCCTGCTTTCTGCAGGAGGAGGCTGGCTTCCATGGTATAATTCATGATGATTCTGCTCTTTGAAGTCTCTGTTGCTGAAAAAGTGGTGTTTGAAGCAATTGCAGATAACAGCCCAAGCACAGTGAGAATGCCCTGCCCTTAGGGATAAGGCCTCCATTTGGAGAAGGCCCTCCCCACCCCTGCCTGGCCACTTGGGGTGTGGGTAAGGGCAGGACCAGTTATGTTTACCTTTTCCCTAACTTGATGCAAATTCTTGTCCATGTGTGAAGATGACCAAAGGCTTGAAGGGGATTTGACTGTTTCAGGCAAATAGAACCTGTGTTTCAATGAGTGTGCCCCCAAAGTGCGGCAGGGTGGAGGCGTGCACCGAAGGAGCACCCAGACAGCAGGGAATAGTCATCAATCCTCTGACCCTCTGGTCTCCTCTGTGGCCAGGCAGGGGGTCAGGGCTCCTGCTGGAAAGAGGAGTACAAACTAAGGTTCCCAGAGTTCCCCTGAACGGACTACAGCAACACTTACCCAATAGTTTAGGAGGTCCATGTAGGATCTCATAGTTTTAAATTTAAAATGTTACTCCCCACTTCTGAGTGCAATTTTAAATATATAGTTTACTTGCTAATAGGCTTTTATTTTTTCATTACATCTTTTGAAAAACCTATAAATTATCCCACCCAGATGGTTTCAGTCATGAATTCTGGTGATTGTTACTCTAGCATGGGACTGTAGTGTTGTACTTATTATTATCCAATACAAATCCGAAAAAGAATGTCTCTGAATTTCATTCCTTTGAGATAGCCACCATTAATCACTGGTATACTTCATGCCAAAAGTTTTTTCAAAGTGTATGAAATCTTTTCTGTTTGTGAAAATGGTCTAGGAAGGGGACTTTAGAATTGGCTTTAGGTAAGTAAAAATAATACACATTAAAAAAATAGAGTGTCACAATCTAGATCATATACTGCATACGTAAGCTGCAATTCTCTTCTTGTTAACAACCTCACTGTATTTCAATGAATAGGTGTCGCTTCATTGATTAAACTAGTTCCCAAGATGGGCCTGTAAGTTGTTTCCAGATTTTTTTATTAATTAAAAACAATAATGACATGAGAGGTCCTCAAACCAATACTCTTGCATACATTCTCTATTTTTCCACAAGATGAATTCCAAGGAGTAAAATTGCTGGACCAAACAATGTGAGCATCTGTCAATTCTGGTAGCTGTGCATTCTTTCTATTCCCATGTTGCCTTCCAGTGCACATCNCCCCCCCCCCGCCCCCCGCCGCCCCGGTAGTTTTAAGTTCTCAGTCCTCTGCCCCCTAAGGGTTATCGTTCTTTTCAGTCCTTGTCAATCACAGGGGAAGAATGTGCCAAACAGCAACTGCGGTAATCTCCTGCGGTATGGCTATGTTTCTGTTTTATTGTCTTCCTCATAATTTCCATTAATTTCCAGATTCCCTACCATGATTATAAATTATTTTATAACTGATTTAAATGCAGTGAAAATGCTAAGCAGCTTTCCCAATTGAGAGAAATTTCGACTGGGAATGATTCACGATTAGAAAAGGTTTCGTGCAGACTGGAAGGCAGGGTACTGTCTGCTCCCGACGGATGGTGGAATTCCTGCACGGGCAGGAAGGCAGTGAGACGGAAGAGAACAGCAGAGACCCAGGGAGGGAGGGGGAGGTGTTGATGAACAGTAGGGAGCGAGCAAAGGTTCCTGTCCAAAGAAACGTCAGTAGCTCTAGGGTTTAGGAAGCAGTAGCAGCGTGTGGGAGAAATGGGCCTGGAAGACACCAGCCCTAAACGGCATGAGAAAACGAAGGCTTAGACACAGGGGCTAATGGAAGGGGCTAGAGAGGGAGTCCGTTGCAGCTAACGCTGTGAGGGCAGAAGTGTCAGATCTTCGTGGGGCAGCCTTTTCTCCCACTTGGGCAAAGTCGGCTGCAGTTGCCCTTTGCAGAAGAAGCTCTACAGGATGTAAGCAGGTTCCTCCAGCTCCGCTATTTGTGAAAAACAAATCTGAGCTTGGGAGGCCTGGAACCCTGTGCAATTTCTTGTTTGAGAGCCATCACGCTCGATAGTGAAAAGAGGGTGATTTCAGCCACGAATGCCTTTTCCTGCAGAAACCAGGAACATCCAAAAGTGCATGTGTTTTTCCAGTTTCATGTCTAGACCGGTATTTTCCAAGGAGGGAAAGAAATGACAACTTTGGGGAACATACAGCAGAAGCAGCTGAAACCCTCACCCCTGGCCTCTCCTCACTCAGGAGAACCCGGGGTCCCGGAGGCAGTGCGGCCCTTCATTTTGACTTCATTTCTTGGGGCTGAATGCATTCCTCTCTGTACCCCAACCATTCCTCAACAGAGCCACGCGAAACGGCCGTGTGAAATGCTCTGCATTCATTTGGGGTGCTGACTCTCACCCTCCCGAGGATCTTATAAGTTTATTCTCCCCTCCCATGATCCTCACGTTTCCCAGCTTCTCCTAATTTCTCCATCACTCCCCCTGCCAGAGATTGAGTAACTGGCTTAAGAGGATTGCTTTTTAAGGTCAGCCTTTGGCCATGAAAAACCAGTCAAATCACTCCCTTACAGCGACGGAGGTGGTTCGTTTCTCCCACAAGTTACACGCTGGCAGAGGGCTGGCTGTGGCTCCACGGGGTCTACAATGGGACTCTGGGGGGGCAGCTGATTTGGGGGCCAAGGTGTTCTCACGGCAGAGAAGAAAGCGCAAGAAAGCTTAGCAAAGCTGGCCTCAGAAAGTTCCACCTGGGAACTAGGGTTTTGCTCACATCTCAAGGCCCAGAGCAAGTCTGACCACCACGTGTGCTCTCAGGGTGTGGAGTGCGAAGGAAACTCCACCAGCAAAGGCGCAGGGGAGGGGACTGTAGTGCAGGCTGCACGTGGCCACAGCTGAGGGGCTGGAGTGGAAGCCCCACCCCCCAGGAGCCAGTGCCCCGATTTGTCACCTGCCCTCCTTGCAATAGTCCACGTGGGATCTCGGCCCACCTGATTGGAGCTCTGATCCCAGAACGGTGCCTTGTATTCCTAGCCTTTGGCTGTGATACTGTTCACATAACAAAAGGCCGCTTGGGACCACCAGGCTCCCACCCACAAAACATTATCCCTGGTTGGTGCCTCCGGGACCAGAAGAACCCTCTGGTTCTGGTTCAGCCTCTTTATGGAGGCATTCATTTGGGGTGCTGACTCTCACCCTCCCGAGGATCTTATAAGTTTATTCCCCCCTCTCATGATCCTCGCTTTTCCCAGCTTCTCCTAATTCTCCATCACTCCCCCTGAAGTCCTGACACACTTCGCAGTCAAGTGGCAAAGACAGAAAAGAGAAGAGGGCAAGTCTCTGCTGCACAGGGCATGCCTGGGAGTCCTCTGTAAAAGGGCGTGTGCCGGTGGAGGGGCAGCCCCTCCCACGTCTCCAGTGGACTGCAGGGGTGAGAGCTTATCTCCAATTCTGCCCTGTTTTTGTACCTTCTTCCATGTCTTATTAGCAAGAGTCAGTTTTAAGAGTTGCAACCACGAAGTCTGTGCAAACAAATTTTCTAAGTAATGATGAGAGGCCTAAACGGTTTCCCAAGAACAAAGAACAAACCCTGCTTTGCAAAATCAGCCTTCCTCGTGGGAGTCAGGCTTGTAGATTTCATTTGGAGATTATGAGAAGTCTGTGGTGGCTATCAAGGGGTCTGGCCATTTAACTCTTTGATGCAACAACCAATAGGTAACCAGAGAAAACAAACAAATATAGGATTGCTTTAAACAAGAGAGGCGATTTAGGCAACCCAGAGCCTATAAGAACAGGAGGAGGAAAGTACATAGGGCCTCATCGTTTGCCTAGTATTATTTTTAAATTTGGCTTTGGTCCAAATTTCATATCATGTACAATCTAAATGCTATTTTATATAAACTTCGGTGTCCAGTTTCTTAAAAAACTTTGCATCAATAAATGTTCTTCATGATGGTTGCTTTCAATGGCTGAATAATTTTCCGTTACTGAAAAGAATTGCTTGCAAGTTCTGTAATTTGCTTAGCTGAGCCCCTAATGCTGGACATTCAGGTGATTTTTATTTTATACTTTTGCATTTGTAATTGTAATATATAATAAAAATTATATTTTGCAATATTATAGAACACTCTTATGAATGTATTTATACATTCTTGTTTGTGCATAAACATGAGCCCGTGGCTATCTTATTTTTTTTCAGGCAATGAAGCCCACCCCAAGATTCCCACCCCAAGAATAGGGGCAGAAAATGGTCCTGCATATTTACAAGAAACCTAAGAAAAACAATGCTGATTTTCTTGTATGATTTGGAGTCTGTAGGAAAGACCATCCCCTCAAGAGCACATGACAGTGCCCACAGCCCACAGCGGGGTATGTTATAAGAATAAAATGCAGATGAAAGTGCCTTTCATATCTCTTGCATGCAAGTTTATTTGTGGGATAAATGGATTGTTAAAAAAAACAAAATTCAACTGAGCAAATTTTTGAGATTTTATTAGCTTTATTTAATGACTTATGAACCGGGCAGCACCCAATGTAGCAGAAAGAAAGGAGCTCCGAGGAGCTGTAAATGAAGACTTACAGACAGAAGGGAGCAGGAACAAGGAAGTTACACTGGCAGGTCACACAAAGCAGGTTAAGGCAAGATGACTTCCTTTTAGGGGAAGGCAGGGGTCTATCAGGCAGGTCACCAAACTAGGGCTGATCACGAGGTTCTTGATAACTGATTTAAGATTCTATTTCTGGGACAGTCAAAACCGTGCTTGTGTCTCAGTTTGGTGATGACAGGTTTAAGAACAGAATGATGTATACTTTATACAAAACAGCATCAAAAAAAGATTGGAAAGAAATGTCTGAGGTTAAAAGTGAGTGTTCTGGGGTAGTGGGATTATGGACCGTATTTTCCAAGCCAGCTTTTGTGGAGTTTTTTGGAGCACTCTACATTTCCAATCATGAGCGTGCATTACTTTTATAAACCTCATGGGAAGAAACCATTAGCTTTAGAAATCAGAAAGGAAATGTAAGGGAAGAGTACGCTGCACATGCAACCAGCACCTTAAATGGCATCAGGAAATTGCAAACAGAAACACAAGCACTTACACAATTTACTAATTTGCTGATCACCGCCATGCATTAGACTTGGACTATTTTGTTCAAAGCATTAGCGCTCCTTCATGTAGTTAATGCAGCCGCATTAAACATTTATAGAACGTCTGTATTCCCAGGGCCAGTTTGTTTGCATTTTTCACTTGAGGAGCTGATGCGGCTGCTCCATACCCGCCAGGTGAGGCGGAAAGCCTGCTCCGGGGGTGCCAAAAGCTGATGAGAGCATTAAGGCAGAGAAGTCCGCTCCACTTCGGTTTTTCCCCTTTTCTTCTCTCTCCCCGTGGCGTTTGCATGGCTTGCCCTAGGTGTCGAGTTCTTTTCTTTTTGATTGTTGCTAATGCATTTTGAAGCTGCAGTTTCCCCAGGCTTCCTTAAAAACATACATGGATGTTGTGAGAGCAGTATTTTCAATTAATGCAACCTTTTTCACCCAATATTTTCAATACTTCTAGAATGGTTAATTCATAGAAAATATGAATTAAAAAAGATTTAAGAAACCAAGTTCTGAGTTTCTAAGTTGCCCTTCATGAAGAATAAATAGCACCGTGAAATTCAGCTACCCTTTTATGCTTTTGTTTATGATTGCCAGATAAAATATAGGATGTCTGGTTAAATTGCAGTTTCAGATAAACAACAATTTTTTTTTTTTTAGTTTAAGCATGTCCCAAATATTGCATCCCACTTCTCCCACCAAATGAAGCAGCCCTTGGCCTCCCGTTAGAAGGACCAGTCTCCAGAATGAAAGCTTGGTCAACGCCTCATTACAGTTGTGAGGATCGGAGTAGATTTGGCAGTTTGCACATATAACTCTGTAGGTGTTTTTCTTTTTGGACAGGGTGATTTTCAATCTTTGGAGGCTGTTTGAAACTCAGAGAGACAAGGCTACTCTGTATACCACAATTCATCTTTCTTTCGAGATGTGTTCCCAGCTCCATGGTGGGAAAAGTGCCTGGGTCGGGGGCCCGATGGATGCACAGTGGAGCCGGGAAAGAAAAGAGCTGGCATGTGACCACACCTGTACACCTGACTGTCAGTCAAGTGTAGGGACCAAGGGCAGGCTGCCCCAAGATGTGCCACTGCAACAGACAGATTATTTCAGAGTTGAGCACCATCAAGGCCCAAAGGACTCAGGAAGAAACTTTGACCTCCCACCCCTCAACTGCATAAAAAGATTTTAGATGGAGGAACTGCAGGAGAGCTGCCGCCATAGATAGTCCTACTATAATGCAAACCAGGGGTGGTAGACAGGGCTGGATGTGGCTAGGTCGGTGGACATTCCTCTTTGTGCCCCTTCATTGTCACTGTGTGGCCCAGAGAATATTTGAGTATCAAATATTTACTCTTTCACTTTCATGTGGAGTGCTTCTCTTTTCCTTTGAAGCCCCGGGCCCTAACCCCTTCTCCTTGGCTCAGGATGACATCCGTACCTCACTCTCCCTGGGGGTCTTTGGAACTTGTGTCTGTGGTTTCCCCGTATGTACATAATTAAAGTTTGTTTTTTTTTCTCCTGTTCATCTGTCTTATGTCAGTTTGATGCTTAGACCAGCTAGAAGAACCTCCAGGGGTAGAGGAAATTCTTCCTGCCCAACACCAATTACTAGCCCCATAAAACATTTAGTGTTAGTAGCTGTCTTACTAACTGAAGTGGCTGCACTTAATCAGAGCGTCTGAGGGATGGAACAGAAGCAGCTCACACTGATTCACAGGCAATTAGACAGCAGAGATCCCGAGGAGGGGAGCCCCTGGGAGCTCGCAGGAATAGTGGGAAGCTAGAAGTCCCCTCTAACTTCTGGGTTACAGTTTTGAAGTAGATGGAGCTCCGCATTTAAAGGATTTCAACTGCCTCAGTTCAAATCCCGTAACTATCCCGTCCTATCAGTGAGTTTACACAAAGAACTTACCTCGCCGATCCCAAGATTCCACATCTTTAAAAAGAGGATGTTGAAGTCGGGGTGGGAAAGTCCAGGTTATTTTGGCAGTTCTAATAATTAAATGACATAAAACAGATTAACAGGAGAAAAATAAAAATTCAGTAACATGTATACCTCCTGTATGCATGGGAGAGACCCAGGAAAACTGGGTAACGTCCCCATGGCTGAAGCCATCATCATCTTAAACAGCATCTTCAGCTCAAGACCGATGCTGTGGGGGTGGGGGTCGGCTTTGGGAGGCGAGCAGGAAACACACGGGGACGGAGGGCGCGCGGGGAAGACTGACTCCTGCTCAGTCTCCAGACTTGGAGTCCGTCCTTCTTTCTGGTCCAGCAGGGAGACACCCTCACAAACGGAGATTTCCCTTATATGCGCAAATGCCTCTCACAAAAAGAGCAGCCTCTACTCAGTTTTCAGGGCTTCATCTGTGCCAGGTGTGTCTTATAAATAGCCAGCTTAAAATAATAGGCCAAAGAGGCATACTTGGGGTGGCAAAATTTGCTCGCCTTCATTAATATCTGTATCCAGGGGCTCCTTGAGAGTTAAATGAGGCAGGGACATGAGGCACCCAGGGCGGAGTAGGCGTTTCCATGTTTGTTCTCCTTTTCTCTGCTTCCACTACTTGTAGGAGATGAATTGGTGGGAAACAAAATGTTTGTAGAATCGGACAGCTAACCATGCCCACAGACACTGCAGCGGGCAATGCCTTCTTCTTTCTCATCACTTCCGAGCTACAGATACGAGGGGAGAGGAGCAGAATGAGATCGCACTGCAGGTTTAGCTACACAGGCAAATGATGCAGCTTCCTGCACCCCCCAGACCCCTGATCTTACACACACACACACACACGCACGCACACACACACACACACACACACACACACACACACACAAGCCTGAATCGCCCATCATCAGGCCAACATTTGAAAAATAGTTCAGTAATTTGAAATTATTCACAGAAACTTTTTTCTCTGTTTTTGGCATAACCAGATAATCCAGCTACTTAATAAAGGACTTGGTGTTTTTGGCTTCTTTGAAACTGTAGGGGAGGAAAACCTTTCTTTCGACCCTTCCAGGGTCCGTGGCTGGCTGAGAACGAAGTTGAGAATGAAGACAGATTAGCAGAAGGAAAAAACCCCTTTAAGTAAGTACGTATGCATGGGAGTTTGCAAAAATATGAGCCCCAAGGTGGTAATCAGATGATTGAGATTTATACTATGTTCTGAGCCGAGGAAAGAGAAGGCGGCTTGGGGTTTGAGGTGGAACGAGGCAAATCGTGGGCGGGTGAGGGCAGGAAGCACAGGATGAAGACAGGCTGCCTCTCGCACTGGTAAGAGTCTCTCAAAGGGAAGCCTTCTCTGGAGTAGCTATCTTCCTGGTATATTTACTAGTGGAATTCTTTTAAAAATGTTAATTTCTCTACAAAAGGGGGCATTTATACTTTACTTTAGATATTTTAGGTATTCTTTCAAGGTATTGTAGGGGACGTAAATGTCTTTTCCTACATCTGCTGCTTCTCCACTGCCTTTAGCTCCAAATAATCCATATGCAATGTGGCATGTTTTGGGATGGCATGTTCTGATCCCCCTCAAATCCTTCTAAATAAAACAACGCAAAACATACAACTTTAACCAAGCTTTGCTCAGAAATATTGGTATGCCTGCAATAAGGACTTCCTTAGGATTCCAGATGATCCCACCATCTCCTGAAACCCCACATAAAACTCCAAGAGCGGACATGCATCTACACTGTGGGTGACAGGCTGCTGGAGGGGTGCGTAGAAAATGCCACTCAACAAAGTCTTAATCCGAACGCTGAAAAGCTGGGATAACTCAGGTCTCTGGCCCTGTGCGGTGCTGCTCTGAGAGCAGACCTGACCGCTGGTGACCTCTCTGCCGGTGCTGCTGGGAGTTCCAGGGGAGCCGTGAGTCCCAGGAAGAATGGGGCGTCAGGTGTGAGCTCAGAACACAACACGGGGCAGGCAGCTCCGGCTCCCTGCCTGGCTCGGGGCTGGGGCTTCATCCCCTCTGGGAACTTGGCACCTACAGGAACATGTGGTCACCCTAAAGGAAGGGGGGCAGGCCATGGGCCTCAGGTCTGGTGTAACCAGAAGCTTTGGGCAGGGACTGGGCAGCTTCTCAATTCCAGGGGCAGCTTTCCCTGCTTGAGGCAGATAGGAGCGTCCCGCTAGCCCAGATTTAACCCGAAATCAGAAACAGACACAACTGGTTGTGTCCCCAGTGGCTCTAGCCAGAAACAATTATCCACTTGGCTCATTAAAACAAGAACAAATGCTAATTGTTTCCGCAATTAGCCAGGTTTTGGTCCAGCCGCTGTGCCACCTGGCTCCAGTCATGGAGAGGGGCTGGCGGGCACGGAAGAGGAGTTGAATTCAGCGCTAAATGTATGGGCTTCACTTCATTTTTCATTCTCCTCCTTTAGATGGGGCGTGTGGGGTGCAGGCCACAAGAGGAGGGGCTGGGCAAGGCGGCTTTCACGACATTTTCTAACATTTAAGTACCGTGAGCTGTGGTGGGAGGGAATGCACAGAATCAGGGGCCTGAGATCTGGGTCCACAGAGTCTAGGGTATCAGAAGTCTCCTGGAGGAGAACAGAGAGGGGAGGCGGGAGGGGAGGGGAGGGGAGGAGCACTACTTGCTCAAAACAGCATTCTCCACATTTCTGGAAGTTTCCTGAGGCCCTGCCTGGCCCCTCTGAGGAGTGGGTGAGGCCCCGGGGCAGGTGTTCAGACTTGTTGGGTGAGGCCCTTCCAGAGAAGACCCAGGATATTGACAGGGTGGAGGTCAGAGAAGGGGTCCGGCGCCGCTCTCTTCCGAAGTTGCTCGTGGGATGACGCCCTAGCCTTTGCCTGAACAGCCCCCCTCTCCCTTTGTTCTGTGTCCAGGCCTAGCTTGATTTTCTATTTTCCCCAGATTTTCTGACGACCCCATTTTCTCCACGGCTGCAACAGACGACAGCGCACTTGAGCCCCCTGCCTTTGGAGGCGACACACCAACAGCAAACGAGACACATGGAAAGGATGTTAGTAAAAATAAATACGAGGCAAGAAATAACAAAGCTTTAAAAAGAAAGAACATAGGACAGGAAGAGGAAGGGAAGGAGGGAGACTTCTGTCGGAGGGTCCCTCTCCATGCAGTCACCCCACGGCAAAGACGACCACCCCGTCTCCGCCTCTGCCTTTGGGCTTCGCCCGCCACCCACATCCCACAGGGCCTGTCTGACAGGCTTATCCTGATACCCAGTGATTGATGACGGCGGAAATATTAATCAGCCCTACAGTATGTGTGTTACAAAAAGGGATGCTTGAAAAGTCCCCAGATTACGTTCCCCAAAGAGACTCGCAATGGCAGGCGGTCTAGAAAAATCTAGTAGTTGCTAGTGTCTCAACTTCAACATTTCAATGAAGAAAATAACAACGTAAATATTGAATTTGTACCTATACATGATTGCTGAGTTTTGTATTTCATGTCATTTTTATAATCAGGGAAGTTATTCAGCAAAATGCACGATTAAGTACAATTTAGTTTTATACATTTAAAAAATTTTCAGGGGCAGATTTTCGCCACCACACTCGAAGAACCCAGCTTGCTCTGAAATTGTTCAAATTTGTTCAAACTTCTGCTGGCAACTGAGGAACCCATTAGGATTATCAGGGGCGATTTTCCCCTTTTACCGGTGAACTCGTGACAAACACCTGAACCCCAGAGAATATGGATGGTCTTAGTGCCCGCTGGGGTGGGCTTTCCCCTCTGAATGACCGCAGATGCACAGACAAGGGCGTGGAAAGGGACTGGGGTTTCAGAGGGTAGCCCGTCCTCCAGGTTTCTAGGCTGGTGACTTCCTGGCTCTGAATCTGTGTGTTTGTCACTCCGTAAGCCCAGAAGCTCTAACCTCTGCTGGTTTGTAATCTAGGCAAAGCCCAGCAGCACAGAGATTTCAGCAGCACTGTCAAGAATGATTTCCCCAAGCTCCAGCAGTCCAGCCTCTCTGGAGGGAGCCTGGGTGGGATGCTGCCTGGAAAAGCACCCTCCCAGGCCACCAGCGCCGTGACAGATGTGACCAGCGCTCTGCACTCCTCTTTCTGGTAAGTTGTGACAGGGCAGGAGGAACATGGCTCCACCCCCTCCACTGCCCAGGATTTCACACATTCCATTCTGATCCCACCCATGGGGCCAGCATTCCTAAGTGACAGCTCCTTAGGACTGTGTGAAAGTGAGAAACCACCCCTATTTTCTTGGGAGGAATTTCTAAGACCAAAAGCCGAGCAGTGGGGACCAGAGGATAGCGTCCTTTTATGCCGAGGACAGCGCCTCCCACCTGACGCAGCAGAGCCTCCTCTGCCGGGAGCCACCCAGAGCCTAGTCAGCAGTATGTCCTGACAGAGGAGGGTGGATTTTCAATAGCAGTTGGCAGGAGACCCATTTCTTATTTTAAAAGTAAAATGGGAAGAAGCCCTTGTATCTGGTGTGCTTTGGAAAATAGTTAATGACAAAAAAAATTAAGCATCCCAGGCACAGACTATTTTATTTTAACTTACAAGATACAAACAAAACTTACTGGCCACTCTTTTAATGTGAGAACTAAGTTCTTTGAGTGAGGTCTCCTCATTGGAGTTCTGCATCATTTTTCTTGCAAAACCACGTCTTTACTGCATCACGTAAAATGTATAGATATGATTTCTTTAAAGTGGAACTAGAACTGAAAAATACAAAGTATTATGAGGGTAGACTCCTACATTTTGGCAATATCCACCACACGCTCCAAACTTTCAGTCTTTTCTTGGCCACACTTGTCAAAAACATTTTTAAAGGAGACTTATTCTTAACTAGTCTTTCCAGAGCATTTGTCTTAGTTGTCTTAGTTTTCATTGCAACAATAGCTCTTTTCCTTATGTACTCATATGTCATAGAGTCAGGTAGCATTTACTTAAATTACTTAATTATAGCCACAAATGCAACTGGCATAAACAGGTTTGGGAGGGATTATCAGAGAGGAGCCGCAAGGCTTGGGCTACCTGGAGTCTGTTTTGC